AAATATAATTTTATTGTGTATGTAAGTGTAGGTAAGCGTAGTCGAAAACGCCCTTCAAATGAATATTAGATTAACAACGAAAAATGGATAAAGTGATGAAAGCTATAATAACAACATACGATATAGTTTTTTTTTCCATTGTGTAGTGTTTTCCAAATAAAGATACTGAAAGTTTAGTAAATATTCCCAGACCATTTAAAAGCTAAAGTAATGGAGCTGATGCAATGTTAAATATAAAGTACTTGTAAAAACATGAGGATGTGCAAGCATGTGCCTGCCAGGCATAACGTAAAGGTGGTTTGTTAACTGTAGGGTTCCAGGTTATATGGATTAGCCATTCTGATGCTGTTATGAGATGTGTTATCAAAAGCAGACTGCATACAAACCATGCATCCCGCTGTCTTAACAGGCGTGTGACACCCGGTGCAGTTCCACAAGGTGCTTTGCTCATCCAACTAAGTCCATATTGCTGTCATTTCCATTGAAATTGGGGGTTGAGAAATTAAGTTAATTTCATACATTTCATGCATTGTGGATGAAATTAAATTTCTCCTAATGTATACAGTTGATTGACATAGGAAGTTTTTATTTATACTGAAGACAGCTTATGAATGTATCATAGTGCTGTGAAATGCATTTTTTGGATGAAAATATAATTATAGACTGTGTGCTTTGAGAACACGTTCATCTTGAACCTGTAGAAACTGACTCAGGTAGGGACTCTTAATCACAGTCGCATCTTCTTCTAAATCGCGGTGTGGTAATGTTTAATCCCGTGAGGGGAACAGTGCTATCTGCGTGAGGATTCAGTTCCCCAAAGCCCAGATTCAGACGTTCTCAGTTGCTTAGTCTTGAAAACAACCCGAACTCCTTCGTTTGCTTGAAGACTGCACAGCACAGCAAGCATCTGACAAAGTTCCTCCTGTCTGAGCCTTGCAGTGTGTATGTTTTACTGTCTAATTTTAAAGAGGTAGAAGTAACTTATCCTTTAGGATATAGATCAATATACAAGTAAAAATGCAATGGTACTAGTTAAGAGATATAGAAAAGACTATGTAACAGCAAAGTAAAAATTATATTGCAGTCAATAAGCTACTATGTGGAAAAGTTGAGAAACTCCCCATTTTGTGTTACTGAATTGCATAAAAGGCCCGTTTCAAGAAGGTCTGTTACCTCTGGTTTTGTGGGGGTTTGGGCCATCTTTTTTTTTTTTTTTTTTTTCTTTTCTATCCATTTTCTTCTGTTACTAAGCTCATTGAAGACACAAAATAAGAAACAGATATTCTAAATATTTACTCACAGTTTATGAGTAGCTACGCTGGATGACCTATAGGAAGGGTTCTTACAATGTGGCATACCTGCATTTTGTAGTATGCAAACCACAGCAGCAAAAGATGATCCGTCCTTGCTGCCTTTTCTCAAGAGAAGGTGGAGGCCAGCCTTCTGCGTTTGCAGGTAGCCTGACCCAGCAGCGTTGGCGACGGCTGGCAGTGTCACCGCTGCTGTGTGAGGAGAGGAAGCCATAGGGATGGACAGCAAAGATCAAAACGTTGCTCTTCTTGCAGCAAGGATATATCGCAATTCTTTCCATGGCAAGAGCATGTGACAAAATTTTTGTTTCAGCAGAAGCGGTCTTAAGGTAATTATAAAGGTGATCTGATTTTTGATGCATTGTAAAGATCTTAGTAACCCGTGGTCTAATTTTTAACTAGTGCATGTTACCCATAAAGAACAAATATTCAAAACCGCATAATTTCTGAAATAAATAAGGAAAATAATTTTGTAGTAGATCAGTTAAACATCTCAGTAGCTTTGAAAATTGAAATATCCTCCATTACTGGCTATTGATATCAAAGGATATTACAGAAATGTTGGAGATATACACTCTGATGTAGCGATGGGGGGGGAAGTTATTGTTTTTTACTCTATTGGTAATCACCATAACTGCATTTTAATTATGTACCACACTCTGCGTCATAGACAATGGCTGTGAATGAGTCAACATTGAAAATTTTGCCAAATCCTGTTGAGTGTATAGTCTAGTTAACTGATGTACAAAATGTAGTGCTCCTTGTAAGAGATGAGGACAATGGAAATCTTTTGGTTTGTTTTAAGTTGATTTATTGTGAGGGTGGTGAGGCACTGGCACAGGCTGCCCGGAGAAGCTGTGGGTGCCCCATCCCTGGCAGCGCTCAAGGCCAGGCTGGACGGGGCTTTGGGCAACCTGGTCTGGGGGAAGGTGTCCCTGCCCGTGGCAGGGGGGCTGGAACCAGGTGAGCTTTAAGGTCCCAACCCAAACTATTCTGACTCTTGTGATTTTAACTTCCCTGTGTTAGGGACATGTATAGAACAGGGAGGGTTTTTTCTGTTTATTTTACGCTGCGTATTCTATGGCAGCTGCTCCGCCTTATTTCTCGATGGCACAGAAATTTTTGAGAGGCAGGAAAAAAAAAATCCCAAATTTCTGTAAGAATGAACATATTTAAATAAAAACTCTGAATGAAAATTGACGTATGTAGACAAAGCTAAAATTGAACCCAGAAGAGCCTAACAAAAAATCCTTGGCTGTGATTTTTAAGTTATTTGTGTTTTGCTTCATTTTAATAAGCAAGGTTCGTAAGGTGGCCTCTGAGACAATAAAAGCACCAGCGTGTATTTGTTTGCCCATGATAACTTTCAGCTACCAGTGCTTGTGAGTGAATCTTAGTATCTTGCAAGGTGGTGCACAGTGCACCTCTGTCTTCTGGGTGGTGACCTTGCTAGGAGCTTTCAGGTTTGCGTAAATGCTGACAAATAGGTTCCGATAGGCCTTCCTCCATTCCAGTGAGCTCCTGAAACACAGAAAGACTTTGAAGATGCTAAGAAAACAGGAAAAACCACATGTTCACACACACGCATGCACACACACACAGTTACTTCATATGACTAATCTGTTTTGTTGTATTTTTAAGGAATGGAGAATGTGGATTGTGATCTGTGGAGGAATGTGTTTAGAGCAAGCACACTGTGAATTTATGTCCCAATTTAATTCCTCATTTCCTTAAAAAATGGTAAATGATAAAATGCTCTGTGTGTCACTGTGTATATATATTTATATTAAGTTTGAGAGCAGCGGGTCAATGGAAGTGGTGGTGTTGGGAATGTCAATATCGTGTTCCAGGCACTGTTACAGATTTCTTAAGCAATATTCTGTACTGGCATTTACAAATTTTTTTCTTTCATTGATGTGTTGTTTCTGTGAAATCCGGAAAGTTTAGCCTCAAATAATTAATTTAAAAAATCTTCAAGAATATGCGTCATAATAGATGTTGCATAGTTTCATCTTACCGCTGATACTGTGCTTTGGTGACGTATGAAGCCGTATTGTCCTGTTCATTGTTCCTGGTGTAGGAAGGACTGGTCACGCCGTTCAGCTGTTCACATTCGTTTGCATGTTTGGACATTTAGCTTAGCACGCTTACTGCATAATAGGTTTAAGAATTTTCAAACTAAGGCTTTAAAATGTGATCCCTTGCTTTCTATTTCTACTTTGTTGTGTTAATGTAGAAGGGTTTGCTCATATGCATATGTAAAATTTGATATATTATGTGTGTAATTGTATGCGTGTAATGGCGAAATGTTAAAACTAAGCATATGATTGTCTGGGAAAAGTTAAGCTAGAAAGTTTACTAATGTACAGTCTTGCTGTATTTCTAATGTAAAAAGAATACACCTTAATGAAAAGTTTGCATCTACTAGCAATTGAATCACCAATCAATGGATTTATTACTGAAGTAAACTTTGCCGATGAGAAATCTGGGGTGGGACCATTCTGAAATAACAGCGTGTGGTGCACGTGTCGTAGAAATGACTCTTCCCCTCAAGCCTCCGCTCCAATGCAGCGTAGCAGTAATTGAGCAGTAGAGGTTGTGCATGCAATGTCGCTCCCTACCTGATGATCAAAATTTGTGGCAACAGTGTACACAGAGTCAGAAATCTGGTAACGGGGTATCCCGGGAGCCAGGCCTCATCCAGCCAAATCCATCGGATTGTACAAAGGGTAGACGCCGTGGGGGACAGCAGTGGGTTTTTTCTATGCCTTACGCTTCATTCTGAACTCTTGTGTGATTGTTGTAGGGTTGGGTTTTGTAATTAAAAAAATTCTTTGTAGAGTGGAATCTGATTTTCTCAGCCATATTCCTTTGAAAAATGGATGGCTTTGAAGGGTTCTGTTTTAAATAGGTTGTCATCTAAATAATTTCAATCACGATATTTTGTTGTTTTATGAACATCTCTAATTAAATTCAGGAAATACTACCATATTATTTATTCTGACAAGCCAAAGGAATGAGGATGTTGCATCACTCCTGAATGCTTGCTAATCTGAAGCATTAGAGGTTCCAGGGCTATAATAATTACCTTTTTCAAATTCTGGGTAAATATTTGTTGTTCTCTAGGGAGCATACCTTAACGTTAATATAAAGTAATTTTGAGAGATTTGTAATCTGGTATCGCTGAAAACATCTATGGAGGTTAATGGACGCAGTGTCTGTAGCTGGCAAAACTAGTTGCCTGATTCCAAACAAGATCTAAGTGCATTTGGTAGCCGTTTTCTGGTGACAAGCCTCGTTGGCAAGTTGCAGCCAGAGAGATACTGCACAAGGTAACAGCCTAAAGTTCGGTGTAGCACCAGGACATCTCTTATAAAATCAATTATATATAAATATGTATTTACAAACAGATGTATGTGTGTGTATATGCATGCATATGTACACACAGATATTTATGGTTTCACGTGTTCTGTATGTGTATGTTTTATATACATTTTTTGTCTTTCTGGAGGAGGGTAAAGGGAGAGCCTTGAAAAGTCCTTCCCTGCTCTTATCAACATAGCAGCCTCAGCTGCCCTCCTTGGATCCCCTGCCAGGGTTGCTATCATCTTCTGATCAAATATTAATGTGTGATTCTCTGCTTGCTCACTAATCCAAAGCCAATTAATATTATCTGTCAATTATTTACAGATCCTGAGGTGCGGAGGCAATTCCCAGAGGACTACAGTGACCAGGTTTGGAATGCGTAATTAATTTTTTACATGACAAAATTTATTTCAGGGTTGTTCAACATATTATTGCTGCTCTTTTTACTGAAAGAGATAAATGCATTCTTAGAAAGAAAAAGAAGCTTTAATTAGGAGCAGAAGGATAAAAACATTTTCACATTTAAAGCAGAAAACAGAAGAATTTTGGGTCTCATAAGATTGTTTTACAATCTAGTTTTTACAAGCGAACATGAGAGCGGGAAGGAAAATTGATTAATAAATTTCACTTTTTGCCTTTAGGTGCCACAGCCTGCAGTTCATTTGGCAGTCCTTACTTCATTGTCTGAAAGGTTTATAGCTATATTTAACTGGGCACCTGGCAGTACAGTACATTTTTTAAATTCTTGCCTGATCATGCAGTCTCTAGTCTGTTTCAAAAAGATGGTATAAAAATACGAATGTGCAGGTAGAGCACGCAGGTATTTATAATTTAGTTTATACACAGATCGAATGTGGAATTTTTCACAGGATTTCTAGCTGACTTTGAAATTAACAGCTTTGAGTTACCTTGTATTTTACTATGTCTCATTAGAAGTGGATTGGGGCAGGGGTCAGAGGTTAGGGAGAGGGGATTATTACTGTGGTGTCTATAAGTACTACTGGAGTTAATGCGCTGTTATTGTTTGTCAGCGTTTAGGGGAACTGCTGCATCTGGGTCGTGAGCGCAAGCTGATTTCTTGTACCTTTATTTCTGGGAAGTGCTGAAGTTATGGCATTGTATAACTATTTAATATAGCAATAAATTTTGCCTCAGTGGGTCTCTGATACTGAGTTAGGGTCAGCAGAGCTATTTTATTACAGATCCTTTCCCTCTAATTACATTTTCATGCAATATGAAATTTTGTGGCGTTTAGACTAATGCATTTAACAAATTGCTAGACGTGATAGCTTATCAGGGCCAGAACAAATGTTTTGATATTGGGCTGTAATCACTCTGTGCAATGGGACCTTCACCAGGGCTTCTGTGTGCTTTTGAGGTGGTGGTAGTAGTAATTTTTTTTTTTTTTTTTTTTCCAAAGCAGCTATTCAACCTGACTGCTTTTCACTGTAGTTTATTATTGGGGCTTCCTTTACACATGAAGTATAGCATGGAATTAAACTTTTTGGGGGGCTACATCCTTATTGCCACTGTCAGATTGTAATCTGTGAATAAATAGATCCCTAAGTTTGTATTTACAGGATAAGCTAACTACTGCTCAGCCCATTACAGCGTATCAGGTTAGTCATATGTGAACTGATGGTCCTTCAGAGCTGGTACAGTCAATTGTGTCCATGATCAAGGTATTACAGGAGAGTCTTGTACATAAAATTTACTTTATAAAATTCTTAACAGTCCTCTTCTTTCTCCCACAAATAATTAAACTTGTATAATATTGCTATGAATATGCAAGACTGAATCAAACTCAGAGGAGCCACAGGCTCATATATAATTCTTAAGATGTTCACCCAGTTATAGTCAGAATTTCCAATCTCTGATGTCAGACTCCGCAAAATACACAGTAGTGCGTTTGTGTGTTTGTGGGGATGCGATGGATTTTTAAATCATCAAATATTTTGCACGTACAAACTTATAGGGAAAGCAAAAGAATGGAGGCTAAACTTCTCAAACTCAGAGTAGATTGAAAAAACATTTTCTCTCTTGATGCCCAGAAAGAATATTTTCTGTGTTAATAGTAGCTATGCATTCTTTAAGAAGAGAACACGTCCAGAGTTGACAGATGTAGATTTGAAAAATCACTTACTTGTGAATATTCAAGTAAGCCAGAGGGGAAAAACATGTAGAAAGGAAGAGCTACATTGATGTTTTTTCCTGATTAATCTAGAGCTCTGAGAAATGTATAGGCTGCAAATCAGTCAAGTAGGTTTATTTCTTAAAACTTCTGGGTTTTGTTTTTTGGAAGAAAAGAAATTTTAGAAGTGCTAAGTCACTGAAGATAAAGATACACACCATGAAACCCTCGATTTTTCTGCGTGTATTCTATATGCAGAGGAGAGATACGATACGCATGTTAGCGCAGGCAAAAATTGTTTCTAGCAATCAAACATTTATGATTTAATCTGGAAGGAATATTTGAGTTATATCAACACAAGGTAAAGCACTTATTAGTAAGAAAAAAAAAAGGAAAAAAAACACCTCAAGTTTTTTTTATTCATCTAAACTATCAGTGCTTGTTTTTACATACACTGTATTTCCCATGTACCAGCACATCTGATCAGAGACCCTCGCTGCTGCTAGATGTTTTATTCTGTGTGTTCTTTGTACCTTACAGTAAAAGAATCTGTCACAAATTATTGTGCCTCACTGCTTTAGAAACTGAGAAAAAAGGGAGGTTAGATTGACATCTGTGACTGAATAATGATGACCAGCCTTTTGGCTCCCCTTGAGCCACAAAGCTAGCATTGCCTTTAGAGAGGAAAAAGGAGTAAGAAGAAAGGGGAGGGATAAAAGAGAGTTACAAATCTGTGGTCCCGGAGATGTATTACTGTTGGGCCAGTTGTCTGCGTGGTATGATAATCCATTTTGATCTTCTGTCTTAATTGTCTGCTAAAGACAAATGGGCAGTAAAAGTTCATCAGTTTCATCTTTTGCTTCTCATTTAGAGACAGAATAAATGATCCGTCGCTACAGAAGAAACCTTTCTTTCTGACACGGAAGTAATGCAGACCCAACACGTTTTATTAAAATATTTCTCCCTCATTATTTCAGTCCTCTCAGCTCTGATAGATCTTACTGTTTCATGAAAAATGTAATCTGAAATGTAAATAAGGGGTTTGATACAAAGTAAGGAAGTAATGAGCAGGCTAGCCACATTGTAGGAATTTTGATTGTAATTACTGACAAAGTGAATTCTGCGTGTCTTCATTTTTTTCCCTCCAGTTGTCTTTGACACGTTCAGACCACAATGACATCTACAGTTTAAATCTGTTAAATAACTATATAACGGAATATTTTATAGAAAATGTCATAGACAAGGTATCTTAGGAGCCTTACTACGAAAAGAAAATGCTAATGATTGCTCCAGGCCACTTGAAATGGTTAAAACTAGGGAGCTTGTTTTGAATGGCAGGAGGGGGGCTGAAGTAATCTTGAGATACGTTTTTAAATATAAGAGCGTATTAACTCGTTAGGGTATTTCGTAATAGCTTTTAAGAATAAAATGTGTATTTATGTATATGTGGTTGTACATAACATGAAATACAGTAATTGTTGGCATTACACGCAACAGTTTTTCAGTGCTAACTTTTTTAGCAATGGTCTTAGAATTTAAAACAGATGAGATCTCTTAGTTATTCTTTTTAAAATACAGTCACTATAGGTTGAAGTATCCTTTAAAAAAAAAAGTCAACAGTCTAGCAGAAAAATACTTATGTATTACTATATTTTCTGGTTTAGGTTCCTAATAAAGCTATAGTAATGAAGTTCATTTTTTTGTAGCTGAAATCCTGTGCTGTTGGAATGCTCTAAGTATCAGACTATGGCTAGGTCGCTTTACTCTTATCACCATATGAATTTTGGCTGTCCACTCTCTTGAAGATTAATCCGAAGATTGATAGCTATCCTGGGCTAACTAATTTTAATACAAGGAAGTTTGTTGCAAAGATATGAACTTCTATCAGAAAGAATGTTTCAGCAAATAGTTGATGTGGGAATATATAAACATAGAGAATAGTCAAACAATCAGTGGAGGGTGTAGGAGGAATTACAGAATTTTGTAAAATGCAATATATATTTTTAAATGGCTTTTTTGAGTAGTGCATCGTTTGGTTCCTTACTGTTTTAATCTTTATAGCTCATCTGGAAGGGAGAGAAAAAATTATGGGGTGATAGTTCCCATTTGTGAGCTGCTTCAAGTGGGTATGATGACTTGTCTATAATTTGATGAACTATTGTACGTATCAGTTAGTTACTACAAGAATGACTGAGGTATGCATGCTTGCAAGCTGGTACTTATGCAGATTGCTACTTCTATTCTGCTGGTAATTTTTCTTTCCACTGGCACGGAAACAGAGTTTATAATGAAACCAACAATCTTTATACATTTATAGAAACTATAAAACTTCTATGGCAGTATATATATAGAAACCAATGGCCTTTCTTTCACAAAGTCTGGGAGCATTGTAGAAGCATTGCACACAGGGAAAAATAAAAAGCACCCTTTCTTTGTGTCATTGGAAGAGTTGCGTGATTGGAGAGTATGTACACAGTGCTGGTCATAAATGGAGCATAAACCCACTATCTTACAAAGTCTGTGCGCACTAAGAGGACTTGGTTGCTTCAACAGGGATGATTATAATCCAATTTGATGTTTCTGAATTGCACCTGGTATTCTTAGTATGAAGTTTTTTTGCCTTTACAGGTTGCGTACACTGCATGATAAAACCTGTCTTAAGAGTAATTTAAAATAATAGCTATCTTTTCAAAAGTAGATGAAGAAGTTGGATTGGAAGGGTTGAGTAATTAGTAATTTAGAAAATCTAGAAAAGTGGCTATAGTGTTCTGAAAGCCACTTTGTAGTAAAACCAAGGCAGTGTAAATAGTAAATATATGAAGTTTTTGATACTCACTTCTGAAGCATTTGATACTCTCAGCTTGTATAGAGCTATCATACTGCATTCATACAAGGCGCCTTTTTAAGTGAAAGCCTAATAAAACTTAATGTAGGATAGTTATAAACATTTTCCTTTTACAGTGACCCCTCTTGACTAGGTAGCGGTAAAATAGCAGCATGAATGGAAACCTTTGTATAGGGTAGGCAAGCAGTCTGCGTAACGTGTAAGAGATCACCTTGTGTGCAGATAGTACAGCTGCTGTTTCACTGAGGCATTCTGGAGACAACTTACCCTCCGAGGACAACGCTGGGTTCTTTGCCTCAAGTCCTGAGAGATAGCGGACAGGACTAAACCATGGGCTTTGACTATGCAACCGAGTATTTTCTGAATTCGGAGTATTTTTCTAGACCAGATAT